AACATCCTATAGATGCAATTAAATGACATACGTGTTCCAGGATGGAGACTCACCCCTCTGTAAGTCTAAACCCCCTCCCCCACTAGCTCTCCAATGGTAAGCAACCCATCCCATGCCCATAGAAATACCTGGTCCTTGGCATATAAACCAGTTAGACCTAATATCTCTGTCCCAAACCCCACTTTTTCCTCAAGGGGATCCCACCCTTACCATGCTCCCCAATTCTCTTTTATCTGTGACCTTTTACTCATTCAATTAGTTTTTTCTCATGTACTTTTTCAGACATGAACCCAAATCCATTGTAATGCCTTAACATCTCTTCTCCCTTCCAAGTTCTTTACAGCAATCTCAATAAATTCTCTTTACCTTTCTTAATTCTACTTGTGAGATTACATAATGAAAATAATCATGACTTAACAGCAGTAGATAGGATAAAATTGAATTGAGAAAAGAAAACCACCAGTATGGTAGTAAAATTGAACATAATTGAAAAATCCAGTGTCATAAGTCTCTAAAACATCTGAAAATATACTAAAAATCCCCTTCAGTTTTTCCCCCATCTCCTCAGTGCCCTCTAATTAAACCTTCTTTCCCTCAAATAGAAACATTTGAAATTGAAAACACATTTAATATCATTGTGCTCTTCTGGCTAATTACTATAGTTACTGTACTGTTCTTTACACATTTCGTAGCAAACACGTAGTATTTCAATTAGAAAATGGGCTTAATAGTCTTTGATAGACGAGTGTGAGAATCCAACCATCATATCATCATTCCTCTGGGAAAACTTGCTTCGAGAGAGCAATTCACAAAGTTTCAGGAACATAAAAACTGAGTTGGCGACTTCCTGCAACTTGTTTATTTGAAACACGGATAGGGTATGTGCCAAATTCAACAGAAGGAATTATCCAGAGTCTTCTAGCATGGTTCATCTAAGTTAATTTTTTTTAAAAAAAGACTGCATGTTCTTTTTAGAGATTTAGAGTTGACCCCTAGAACTAGATGGAAACAGACATATAAGGAGGTTCTTTCTGACACAGAGCCTTGAAGAAGGAGAGAAATTATATAAATGATAGAACATATATTAGAATCTCATAGGCATGCTTAAAATTTTCCAAAATAACTTCACTATTTCTAGGAAGGAAATCAGTAGAAAGTTAGAAGTATTTCTTTCAAAACTTCTTAACTAACTATAAAGTGAACAGTTCCATCTTCAAAATGCACTGTTCTGTTGTGATCATACCAAAGAATTCTCCTAATAAATAAACTCCATTTCTAGAGAGGAAAAAAAGAGGCTTTGCTGTTATAAGGTTCATTGAACAATAGGTCAGTCAATCTAGAATTGTTCAAAAAATTTTAAATAATGATTTTGGAGATGCAAGGCCTTAACAAGGAATTAAAAGGCATGACTCTGTGAGTATTTGTATTTAAATGAGGGAGAGGCAGAATATGCCACCAAAGAAACCAAGTCCTGGTTTTCCATTCGGTTAACATGACCACCTGATGCAAAGTAAAAAGAACAGATTCCTATTGAAAATGTTATGATAGGTCAAAAAATATGAGCATTGTTGTTTAATGAACTCGGGTTCAAATTCCATTCCACCATATTTCTGCTCCAAAGTATTATTTTTTTATTTTTGCAATTTAGAAAAAGTACAGCAAACATATTGCATACACAGTACACTTGTGTACAGGTTATTGTGAACAGTAAATATAACAAAATTTTTAAAATCACTCTGCACATTATAATTAAATCCAGTAAACCCTTAAATATGCTTGTTAGTTGAAAAATATGTTCTATAAGATGAAATTATTGGCACTGAAAAACTTTCCTTTCCAGTATAATACTTAAGAGCCTGAATGTGGAACTGAGAACACAAGCACTTTCCGTGTAGTTCTGCGCAGACAAGGGAGAACTTCCCAGACTGCCTTACAGACACACAGATGCCGGAAGAAATCCTGACTTTGTTTCACTTACCTTAGAAGGGGTAGCTAAATGCCATTCTCAAATTTCCATAATAACACATGAAAAACAATAGAATCCTTAATCTGTTTCCCTAATCACATGGACTGTGTTGTATGCTTAGACAATACATACATCATTTAGCAAATAATTCCCTTCATTCACCCTCTTTCCCTTCACATTTATACTAGATATGGTTTCACAACATGTGGCATTCTTTAGGAAAGACACAACTCAATACCAGCCATTGCTAAAAAATAGAGAATGCAGGAATCAATAAATCAATTACCTTAAAAATACATTTCTAATAAAACTATTTAGAGCCACAAACTACTGGTAATCTGCTTGAGGTCCCTGAAAATTATTTTATTGCCTTCTATGACATTAGAGTCACTGAGCAGGTAGCAATATTTTTCATCTATGACAAGAATTGCCAATAGGCATAGAATAAATGGAATCTATATCCTGTTCCATCAAGACAAGATCACAAAACTAGATTATGAGCCATTCAGATGAATATTTGTTTACTCTTGTTTTACAAAGTAGAGAAGTAGCTTTCAACAGTTGCCTTGTTCATGCTTTTCCTGAGCAGCAGACTCAAACACTTCATTGGATGTACAAATATATACAAACAAATGCAAATGTAGTTTCTCTTTCTAGAATGCACATGTGTGGATGACTCTGTGTGTGTGTGTGTGTGTGTGAGAGAGAGAGAAAGACAGAGAGAGAGAGACAGATATGAGAAGAGATACAGGTGCCCATTAAGAGACCATTTTAACTCTCTAGATGTCCAGTAAGACATTCTCAGAGCCCAATAGGGATGAGGTAGGTGGAAATAATAACTGCTATCCCATATCTTCAGAGTAAGAGCAATTCAGAAGTGAAATTCTGGAATGCAGTATCAGAAATATGTATGTATATACTTCCCCTAAAACTGGCATCTAAGTCGGAAGGTCATTGACAGGCAAAGTAATTTCTGGTCAAGGTTCCTACCTGCCTTTCTAAGATACCTGAACCATTAGGATAATAATTCATGAGAGCATTTAAGTAGGAACTACATGTAGATAAAAATTATTAATTTCATTTACATTTTTAAGTCATTGGTAACATCTGTCCTGTTTCTTTTGCAGGAATCTTACAGAAGGTAACTGTATCCGTGGTATCACCTATAATTCATAACAGTGCTAAGATAACATCCTTCATTAGATAAATTTAGCAAATCCAAAGCAATAGTTTTAATCCAGCTCCAACACAAGTCTTTGTTACAGTTCTCATTTCAGTTTAGGCAGCTCAAATAAGCTTATTGCAGGGCTTTGAACTGACATTCTGGGATGGCACAATAGACAATATCACCAGAAGAATCATTAATGAGCATCAATAAATGTTACTTCCTTCAAAGAAGACACTTTAACTCCACAGTCTGCAAGGCAAGATATAAAATGAAAGATGTTCTACTCCCTTGTTTAAGATTAAATTGAATCAGATGTGTGCAGATTTATTTTTAGCAAATGCTATATAAAATTTAGCTAGAGAAATATAGTACCTCTATAGACGAGACTTTTTTTTTCTGAAAAGGGCAATCAATCTACTTGAGCTTTTAATTGAAAAGTACATCAGTAATACTCTCTGTTTGTCTTACCTTGTTATCAGAAATTAAATCCATTTTTAATTAATGAAAATAAATTTAATCTTAGAGCATTTGTAATCTCAGTTTTATTTAGGCCTGTATTTAAAGAACTGCTTGAGAGCCCTTTGCAAACAAAACCAGGCTCTATATCAAAATGATGCCCAATCTCTTTTTTAAGTCTATTTTCTAAAATCTGTGGGCCAGAACTGTAAAAGTCTTCACTCGATCATGTTAACAATGTTTGACGTGATGGTAGAGAGGGCAAAAAGAATTAATTTCTGCCAAATATGTACAGGCTTCAGTGCTGTTGTTTTGAAAATGTCCTCCTCTTATTCCATTTTGGTAAATTTCTAAGGAATGTTTAAAATCTGTAGGACAGACTTTAGTTTAAGAGGTGGCCTCTCTGTCATTTTCATGGCTGATTTGAGACCCATTATGCTCTGGATTCTGCACTGTGAAATCCAGGCTGGGGACAAATTTCTGCCTGTCATCTTAGGAAAGGCCAGGAGTTTTGCACCATCCTACAGTGTGAAAACAGAAAATCAAAGCAGGGTCAGGCTGCCTGTTTCTTTTTTAATCAGCCTGCTATTTTTTTGAGGCAATCTCGGCTGTCACTATCTTGGGCTTGAAAGGGAATTTAGCAGAATGAAATACAGTTTAAACAACATCTGCCCTGGAAAAGTTCCTCCTTACACTTAGTATCGAATGCAAAGGGTAATCAGTAAGTAATCATTTGATGCTTGGCTAAGAAACATTGCACAAGGAACAACAACAACAACAAAAACCTGATAAGAACCTAAATCAGGAGCCAAGAGGCCTGGATACGTTCCTCATGCTGCTCACTCTGTTGCAATGGCATCCCCATTAAACTATACCTTATGGACCAAATTTGCTGCATCTGTCACCCCAACAATCAGATGTAAATTGCAGAGATAAACATACCTTAACAAGAATTTAAATTTTTTTAAACAGTTCAGGAAAAATTACAGCATGGATAACTCACTCAATGACCTCTCCTGTCTAATGTCAATTTCAGAAAACAAGTTTCCATTGTAAATGTTTAATCAGTGTAGTCCCAGGAACCCAGAGCAGACAACCTTATCTTCTCTTCCAACTTATTTGCTCTGCAAGCTCTTTAGTAGCTCTATCTCATCTCCCTGCAAGCACTTTATGTTTTTCTCTCTCAAAATAGCTGGGGGCCCTGTAGGTTCTGAGCTAAACAGCAGCCCTGTGGTTTGATTCCATGAGTCTGAGCCCTGGTCCACTGCAAGCAAACTGCAGCATTTCTGCTTGCAGATACTGGCAACCAGGTTTCCAGACCCGCCACAAGCACAGACAGCACACATTCTTCAATGTTCTCGTGCCCAAACCTTGCCTGAAGCCTGTCAACCACAGCAGAAAGCATCCTACCTTCCATCATGGTGGCAGAATTGCATTCCTTAATTTCCAAGGAGTCTGAGAAAACACAGGAGGATAGGATTCCAGGTCCCAGCTAAATCCTCACAAGACTGCTGCCGCTGAGGCCGGGCGATCTGCTCCGTCCCTTGCTGCTGAAGCCAAAGGAGACAAGTGTTAACCCCAAGGATAGGCCATGGATGCAGCTGCTGCTGCTTCACCTACAGGCTCCCAGGAAGATGCTGCGAGAGAAAAGGAGAAGAGCAGCGAGCCGGCGAGCTGCACCGCCTGCGCTGCCTCAGCCAATCCCTTCAGCTCTGGACCGCGTCACATGGTAGCCAGCCCGCATCTCCTGACACAATACCCCCGGAGGGCGCATTGAACCTATTTCCCGTCCCCATTCCCCGCCACCCCCTGCCCCTGCCGCGGGTCGCCAAATGCACAGCCCCTTCCCCACCTGGTGACGCACTTCCCCCGCCCCTCCTCTTGGTCTTCTAAACCTATTGCAGCTGCTGGTACCCGAGATTAATTATCAGGCGCTGCCACCTTAACAGGGATGAAAGGAGCACCTAAGTGGCTTGCTGCGGAGGGTTTGTGGGGTGTTTTTTTTTTTTAACTTAATTCGGTGCTGTTTGAAGTTTAGCCGCACACTTTTAAGCTTATTCCCATCTCCCTTTACCCTGAAGGAATGTCAGTGCATGTGGCCTCCCCACACGTCTGTGAGAGTCCCTGCTCCCTCCCGTCCTCCCTCCCTTTCATTGAAGAGAGAAAAATCAACCCGGCTGACGTCACAGCACAAACAATTATCCCCAAAAGGATGATGCAGAAGAAATATCACCCCAGCTGCCTTCAAGAACGCCAGGGGATTAACCGCGCATGACATGCCGAGGGCTGGGAACTATCATTAAAACAAAGAAACAAAAGAACCCACCCGAGGGGGCTCCGGATACAAACTGGCAACGCTTGAGATAATTTCTGGGGCGGGAGGCAAGAAAGAGGGCAGCGGGCAGGGAGGGGAGGCTTCGGCCGACAGAAAACAGCCGTGCACGCCGCTTCTAACCGCGGTGACCTGGGCGGGCGGGCGGGCGGGCGGTCACAGACTGGACCCCTCGGGGCGTCTCTCGGTTCGGTGTTCGAGTCCCCTGGCCCGAGCGCACGCGAGCCACCTGGTCGACTCAGGTGGAGGAGTGTGGCTGCCGCCGCCAGCTGTAGTGCTTATAGGAAAACAACTTTCGTCTAAATGACACGTTTTTCACTCCGGGCCACAGACATCTGTAAATGCCTTCCAGCCCATTCGTTCACCCCAGTTGAAATCCAGAGGGAGGCAATTGTGCTGGGTTCTGGCTGAAGGATGGGTGAAGCCCCAGGTTTCTCACACTCCAGGGACGGGATCTGGATGTCGCACCGCTGCCTAAGCGGGAAGGGTTATGGCTCCTGGACTGCTTGGGTTGAGAACCTGCTACCTGGCTGGTCCCCAGTGACCCCGGGAGCCCTTTCAGAGGGCCCGACGCTTTGGGTCCCTAGGTCCTCCGTTCCCTTCAAGCAGGCCCTGGCCGCTAAGAAAGAGGGCAGGTGGCATACGTGAGGGAAAGGAAGAGAAGGGAGACTGGAAGGAAGGCAAAGGACTCTAGAGCCCTAGGGGACAACAACAAAAGGGGGATTTCTCCCTCTACTGCCTAGCAAGAGGACTAGGAGAAAAGCTATTACATCACAGAGCAATTGTGAGCACCAAATGAAATAATTGAGAAGTAGGGTGCATTACATGATCAAGATCGAGCCTCTAATGCTAGTAATCATTTGTGCTATAAATTTTACCCCTAATTTTTAATATTGCTTGGTCCTTGACATAGTCTGGTTCTTTTCACTAGAGCAAATATGAGGTACTTCTGACTAGATCTACTGAAGAAGCTGACCTGAGTGGTGTATTAACAGTTAATAAACAAAAACTCTGCTCCTTAGCAACATAAAAGTTAAAAAAAAACTCATTGTTCTCCCTAAGGACACATATATCAATGGCCTCTAAATTTTAAAATGAAACTCTCCAGGGAGATACAAATTCTTGTGCTTTTTTCTTTATATCTATGAAGCAGTTGAATTTTAAAAGAAGAAAAAAATTCAGAGTAAAACTTGTCTTGAGTACAACTTACACTGCTCTGAAAACAGCAAGGGTATTATTGCAAAAAAAAAAAAGACTGGTGTGTGTGTTTCACCAAAATTGTTGTAAATTGTTAAGAACATGGGTAGATAATGGTGCCAAACTGTCTGGGATCAAATTCTGTTTCTGCCACTTCACAAACTCTGTCATTCTGTACTGGTTACGTAACTCTGTGCCTCATAGTCCCCTTATCTGCGAAAGATGATAATACCATCTTCGCAAGGCTATACGTAGTATTAATAACAAAACTTTATTGATGGCTTACTATGTCATAAGCAGAGTCCTAAACACTTTGCCAGTAAATTACTTAACACTGTGTCTGGAGCATAATAAACCCTTCATATTATCTTTGTAATGTTAGTATTTTGACCACAAAAGGGCTGCCAGAGGCACCAAAGAAATTTGCAGCCAAGTGAAATTTATATAACATGCATAGAAAACAACCTGGTGAAAGACCAGGTGAAGTAACTAGGGATGTAACATATTGGAGAGTTCTGACATGCTGCTCAGGGGAAGAATGCTTAGAACCAAATGAGATTAGTTAGGGAAGGTCCTCTTACAGAGATGGAAGGTCAGAGTTCAGAGAAAATTGGAATGGACTTGGAGTGGCAGTTCTAAAAAAGATCAGGAGTTCTAATAAGAAAAATGGCCTATGTAAAATCTAGAAGTAACTGCCAGCATTTAGATACTGGGATAGGAGGTATTGTCAGAGATGTAAGGGTGAGAGAGCCAGAGAAATGCTGGCTGCCTGCTTTCCCTCACCCCATGAAGTTTTTTACAGTTAGAGCAAACCTCTCAGATAGATTTAATAGGGCACACATCAGTTTTGTTTTAGACATGCAGCAAGGCAACTAGCTAGAGCCAGAGAGTTCAGAAATGCTTTTGATCAGTGGGTGTTTATAAGAAAAGCAAGTGCTTAGATGTGATTGTCAGAGTAGGACCAAGGAAGGGATGTGCAGTTAAAGGTTGGTGAGGCTCGTCCCAAGATTGCTTCAACTTTGAGTGACTTTATTGAGATGTTATTATCAATTCTAAGAATATATGATTAACAAAATTCTGCTTTAAATAAAACATTGCTTCTGGTATAAGAAAAGATTAAATAGCCTACTTTTGCCTTCTTAGAGATTTTTGGGAAAAAAAGAATGTTTTGCTCAGGAACAAAGACAGCACTTTTAGATTGTGGCCCAAATTTCATCATTTCTGGGTCTAGTTTTTGCCTACCAACAAGTGCAAAGGAGAATTTATAGCTGCTAAAATAATGAAATATTTTGTAAAGCTGCATTTATTCTCATTTAATATATTTTAATTAATTTTTTCAATTACAGCTGAAATTCAATATGAGTTTGTATTAGTCTCAGGTGTACAGCACAGTGGTTAGACAGTCATATATATTACAAAGTGTTCCGCCTGATATTTCAAGTACACAACCAGTACCATACATGATTATTACAATATTATTGACAATATTTCCTATGCTGTAATGAATGGAATATTTTTTGCAAGTCAAATAGAAGTTAAAGTCTGTGGAAAGTATTGGGTGCATTATTAACTCGCACCAAAGTTCCCAAACATTGTCTAGGAGTTTAGTGTGAGTGTGTGCCCAGATCACACCAGGTGCCCACACAGTGCCTGCAATGAGTTCCAGACCAAAACACTTCATTGCTAAAGTCACTAGACATTAAAATTTTGTTTTGAAAATAATTTTTCACATTGGTAATGCTGTAAAACCTGTTATAAATGGTTTCTGAAGTCAAATCCTATTATATTCTAATCACAATAGTTGAATTTCTTCACTATTCCTTGGAGTTTGAAGGGGAAATCAGTTAATAATGAGAATTAAATCACAAAGGAAGAAGGGAAAACTTAACATAGAGGGAAAGTTTAAATAATGTATCTGATATCCTTCTTGCTATTCCACTGAGGCAACTCAGATAAATGTAGGAGGGAAAATATTGTCCAAACCCTCTGAAAATTAACAGGAGATCTCATGCAAAGAGTTAGATTTCCACAGGATGTAATAGGTGAAAGAGCAATATACATATACGCTCATATTCACTATATACTCTTCTTAAAATGAAGAACTACTGCTGGAACTGGCACGGGCAGAACTGGGATTTCTTTAGGTAGCTTGCAGAATTATGTGAAGTGCTGCACAGCTGAGGGAAAGTCAGAACAGAATGCTTCAGGAAATTTGGATACCACGACCAAGTACTCACAACTCTATTTCTTCTAGAATATCAGCTTCTTTCTTCTTACCAGCTTTTCTCCATGTGATCCGGGGGCCAGTCATTTAAATCCTTTAAGTTTACATCTAAACAGCTGGCCTGTCCAAAATCTATTTCAAAAATATTTCTGGGAAGGGTTCTGACTGACCTGGCTTAGATGGCTGTTCACTCTTTGGGCCAATGAAGGGGGCAGGCTGATGAGGTCTCATGATGGACTTATTTAAACCAAAACTTACATCGGACTTAGTCACATGACCACTATTGTGACAAAACATGGGGAGGAAAATAGGCAAGTTTCTACGACAAACAATCCTTAAGAGTACAGACTCTCAATATGATTGGAGGGATAGAAAACACATTATTAAGGGAAGAAAAGGTAGTATTACTTGAATAAGTGTGGGGATAGAAACTGAGAAGCAAACACTGGTTACCACATTGACATTACTCAGTGCACCTAGGATAGAACTTACAAAAGATTCATGGTTGCAGAGGGATTCAGAATGCCACACTAATCTCACTCAGCATATTTGAGAGCTTTTGTACATATGATATTTTCACTCACTACATCCAAGAGAAACTTGCAGACCCTGTAGTCATCCTCCCTCTCACCATGGAGAGGGGAGTGGAGAGGGGGAAGCAGACCCCCTTTGTTGGCCCACTTACCACAAAGACAAGATGAGCCTTGGTACCCTCACAGCCCACTAGTCTACCCCTGCCCAGAGAGCCATGTATCTAAATCTGCACAGTGCGGAAGGAACTTGTATCAGTCAGGAAGTACTGTTTAACCTAGACCTACATTGACAAGGATAAACAGTAAAGGCTGAGTACACGAGAAAAATCAACAGTTTCAAAAGGAAAAGTAAACAATTATAACTCACTGAAGCAGAGGAG